GGCGGGGCCGGCGGGGCGGCGCGGGGAAATTGTTGAGAGCGGGGTCCAGGACCCAGCTGTGGATTGTGGACTTTGCGGTTGTGCGTGCGAGCGCGCTGACGCAGGGCCAGCATGGCCAACGCATAAGGCAGCCAGCTCACCACAACTCATACGCAGGCTGTACGTGCGAATGGCCATAAAGTGTGTCAGCCACAGCGGCCGCTGCATCGTGCACGCTGCCGCGGCGGCCGCCGCCTCAGCCACGCCCACCTCAGCCGCGCCGTCGGCACAGCGAGTAGGCCCCTCCTAGAGGATGCAGGAATGATCCCAGTCCCTCCATTGAGAGCCCAGGCCATGGCTATAAGCCCTGATCGCGCCTGACGATCAGCGCAGCTACGACTGATCTGTATGTTCGGCTACAGGCCCATGACTCAAGCTAAGCAATGATAATCAAAGTTTTTGGTCCTGCATATAACTCGACCTGCCCATGACAAGGCCTGAATCAGGCTGCGGTAGAATCACTAGCTGATCAATAGTAATCAGGTGACCGACCCAGTCTGCAAAATAGGCGATGCGATCACAGTCCCATGCTCATATGTACCATCAACTCTCACAGTTACCGGGTTGATGTGACGCATACTGAATGGCGCGATCTGCAATGGCAAGACTCGACGGTGTCAGCCGACAGAACAGTTATTGCAGCTGATTTTGTCGCGTTTGTCCCACAAGTTGCATCACGTGGGCCCAGGGCTTTCAAGGTACCCGCGTGCCAAGGGCTCGTGGGCCTGACGTGTAGCGTTCGGTTTGCGGAGCTCGTCACAGCTCCAACCGACAGCCTGAGGCAAGCATGGTGAGGGCGGGAAGAGCGGCTGGAGCTCTCGTCGCTGCCGTGCTTCGCGGCAGCTCAAGCTGGACACCGGCAGCGTCGCATGCGCCCATCGGCGCGCCGATGGTGCTTCATCTCCAAGCGGGGGGGCTGGAGGCAGCGAGCGTGCGAAGCATGAGTGATGTGGCAGAGCGGAAGCGGTGGGAGCTGCTGAAAAGCCAGGGCCACAAGGTCAACCCGTGAGTAGGCTGGTTACCCAGTGACGTCCTCCGCCTGGGCCTGGGCCGTGAGCCATGCTTGCGTCAGTAGCCGCAGCACCAGAACACACCGACGCAGCTGCACCCGCCAGCTTTGCCCGCATACCGCCTGCATGCCCGCACCCCATGTCCCCGTTCGTGTCTGCACCGTGCGGCAGGTGCAACAGCACGCTGCATCCTGCAGTGGAGGCGGGCATGCAGCCCGATGGCGCAGAGCTTTCAGCTGTCCAGGTGGGCGAGAAAGCGGCGGCCTCACATCACTGCTCACTTCGCTGCGGCATGAAAGCTCGCGCCGACCCGAGGAGCACAGTGTGGTGCCCCCCAAGGCGCCAGCTGCTGGACGTGTTCAGCACCTCGGCGCCTGCCGCCCGCCAGCGCTCCTCGCAGGAAGCGAAAATTCTTGCTGGGGGACTCCCAGGCACGCCTCGTGGTTGTCAAGCCATGCAGAGCTGCCACGACTCCGGCCGACCCGTCCCCCTCGCCCTCCCCCTGGGCCGCCGCCCGCCAGGAGGCGTACACGCCCCAGAGCACTTGCTGGGGCTGCGGGCCCTCCGCGGACGGCGGCCTAGGGCTCCGCAGCTACCGGATAAAGAACGGCCTGGAGGCGCGCATTGTCATACCCCCGCACTACACGGCCTTCCCCGGTGCGGCCTCAGCACCAGTGTGCTGGGGCCCGGCCAGCGCGGCAGCTGAGCTTGCCCCTGCCGCAGCCGTGTTTGCTGGGTCCCTTGCATGCGCCGCTGCGGCATGCAGGGGGTTTTCGGGACATGCAACCCTCTCGGCCCCTGCTTTGCTCACGCCAGCCTAGATTGACCTTTACTTCTGCGCACCAACGCCCCAGGCATTGTCAGCGGCGGCGTGCTATCTACTATAATGGACTGCCACGGGTGAGGGGCGGCTGGCTCAAGCACAGGGCAGTGCCCGGGCCCCCATCGATCAGCAAGCGCGTGGGGCCCCACCGTGTAGGTCAGGCTCGCCCTCTTCCTACCCAATCATGTTCATTCACCTCCACCCGCGCACACCCAGTCATGCCTGCCCCCCCCCTCCTTGTCCCGTGCGCGCGCACACACACACACACTCTC